GATCGTGGAGGTCTCCCAGAAGATATTGCCAATTTTCCTTTGTCGTCAGTAACAGATGCAGTTGCAATAGTATGAGCAATTTTTTTACTAGGTGACCTAAATATTAAAAATGTTCCAAGAAAAATCCTTACAAAATATTAATTTTACAATTCAACTACTATAAATTGTCATAATTACCGTATAAATGTCCTTTCCACACGTGCTCTGTGCTTTCCATCTTCAACTGTTTGAAATTCTGTACGTCCTGAATATGTAAATCTACTACTTAAAGTAAGGGGAAATCGTTTTGGTCGCATTTTTGGGCTATGAAGTCTAAAGAATGTATGGTGCTCAACACAAGCTTTCCATAGATTTTTAGAACTACGATAAGTTTGCATGTTAAAACCTAATAATGTGTCATAGTTTTCAGACTGCAACATAAATTAGTTAATTCACAAAAAAGTAATAAAAACATACATATTAAATTAATGAATTAAATAAAATAATAAAACCCACTTGTTCTCGTCGAAGTTGTATAAAAAATTGTTTTCTTTTAAAAGAGATTTTAACTATTTTTGACCATGAAAATACGTTGATTTTAATGCCATTCTGAAATACAACCAGGCCAATCGATGTAACACCTAACTGTATTTCTTTATTTGTAGAATCCTAAAAGACAAATAAAGTATATACGTTAATTTTATTTTTAAAAAGTACTTTTCAATTATCTAGTATATTCTATACCCTTGCTTTATGTAATTCCACTCCATACATATCTAAACGCTTTGCATGATCTAAAAAATTAAATTCGGCATCAGCTGGCAATTGTCCCCTATGAATAAAAAAAAATACATTTAATATTAAAGTAAATTATAAGATTTATTATTAAATATTAGATATAAAAATGTACAAACTTGTGCAGTTTATGTAGCTCTGATATCTTCTTTTCCATTTCTTCTGTTTGTCCAGGTATTAATTGCAATTGTGAAAGATAGCCTGGTCCATGTTCCTCTGGATGATAATCTCCTAACTCCGCTATATATGCAACATACAAAAATACAATGTATTAACTCGTTTTATTAATTTATATTCAATATTAAGACTAAAATTATTTAAATTTATTCTATTATTTTTAATATAAACTTACACTGAACTGTATAACTAGCAATTAAACAAGCTGTACTAGAGGGCAATTGAAGTTTTCCTTGAAGAATATCTCTACGTATTTGTAAATAAAATTGATATCTGGTATATTCTTCTTGCAGTTTACTAGGATCGGATACATAAAATTTTACTCTAAAAAAGAAATGTCCACCTGAAACAAATAAATATATATTATATATTATATACTATATAACACATGTAGATAATTAACTAGAAAATATATATATTTAGTTTTCATATAATTATATATATTTTGTTAAAGATATAGGATCTTTACCCTTACTTCTTATTTGCTTTTTCACAGGTTTAGAGGGATCCAGCCACCTCTAGAAATATTTATATATTAATGATTAATTTTTTTTCATTTACACTAATATATAAAATTTATATATTTTAAATAATATTTTGAGAAAGAACAGGTATGTAATAAAATAATTTTTTTAAAGATATGTTACCATTATATCAGATGTAGGTATAGTTGTGCTAACTCCATTTTCAGCATATTGTAAACCAAAATAATCCTTTTCAATAAGTTCTAAATGTTGAAACACCAAATCTAATAAAACTTGTCCTTTTGCTCGTTTCTATAATATACATTTGTTTATTAATATATATTTATTTTTATTACATTTAATTGTTACATCTCTTACATGAAAGAATGTTATGGACTTACATCTAATTGAAATGTATGCTGTGTATCATCTAGAAAAGTAACAGTGGCTGATAAAGATTTTAGTCTGCGATTTCTTGCTAATTCAGCACCACGAACGTGGTAGCTCCCACTGGAGCCACTAAGTGCTCTGCGTGATACACTTTCAATCATCTCAAATATATGAAGGCGTGTCAACCACCTTCTCGACACCACCTCTCTGCTATGCTGACCACCTTTGAAAATTAAATGGAACATTATATAATATATCAAAATTTATCAAAAAAATTACATAAGGATTCGTTAGCAATTATTGTATTTAATGCTCTAATCAATTTGTGAAGAATCCTATATACATATACTTATATATATTTGATCTTTTTATTTTATAAAATAAATATAATTTGCTCGTATATACATTTTACAAACATACATAAATAGAAAAAAAATGTTATATTGAAATTGTTATATATATATGCTTAAAAATAATACAAACAAAAATAATACAAATTTAATTATACCAAAGGTTAAAAATTAGTATCTACATATATAATTAAGTTGAAATAAATAAAACAGCACACACAATAATTTTACATATATATGTTTCAGTGATACACTTACAAGTATATAAGCTATTATATATCATTCTCCATTAAAATATACTAAAATCTGCTGATTATTAGTAATAAAGAATTGTAAAGGTACAGCTGTTTCTTGCATTTAATAAATTCATTAATAAATATATTGTTAAATATAAATAAATAAAAAATTTTGTTAAAAGTGTATATCATACGGAAAATCTATTTTTTAGCTGTGTTTTATAAAATTATTATCATTTTTTCAAAATTACTTACATACCTACATTTCTTTCTTCTATTTTTAAATAAATCTATGTATGTGACAATTGAAATATAAGAAAGTACAGCTAAAACAAGATAGATTTTCTTGCAACAATAGTCTTGTGTTAGTACTTCAAAAACACAGATATGAAAATATAGTTACATTTTAGAAATGTCATTAAAAAACAAATTTATCTCAATATTTATATCAACATAAGTTATATATTTAATACATTTCTGTTTTACAAGTTAAGAACAATTTATTAATTAGCACTTCAAACCACAAATAGATACAAAAGTATAATTACATTCCAGAGATGTCATTAAAAGCAAGTTTACCAAGATTTTTCAATAATCCAACATGAGTTACATAATCAAATTGTCAGAGTAATGTAGAAGAGAACGGGAATATTCTGAAAATAGTTTATACAAAAAAGAAAGAGTAATACTGCCGACTAACTGCTATCGCACAATTGGATTCTGCAAATTTTTCCAAGGCTAGGGCATTAATATTGACAAATACATTTACATATTTATATATAATTATTACAAATGAAAAAAATACCAACATAAGATTATTGGAACAGTGTATAAACGATATCATTAAGAGATACATCATTGTACTGTCAACATGCAAAATCATTCCTCAATCAGACATATGATTACAGTCAGGGTAAAATACTTGACATAATTTGATTTAGAGAGATACGGCGAATTATAACCCCACTAAATACAATATATAGATTTACTCACATTCATGATACGAGCGACACGTTTTACTTGCGATTGCCGTAAAACCCTGTACACAGGATTCGATAAATTGTTCCAAGCGTACATACGAGCCCGGGAGCCGCACTTCCCTCAGAATAGCATTGGACTCTCGGGCGAGATGTGTACAGGCTCCTTTTCATAATTGTGCCGATCCAAGCACAGTCCACTCCAAGTGGATGTGTAATATCATATTGATGCGGCAAAGCAACAGTTCATCACACATTTCCTCACACGAAATACGCAACCTCTCACGACGCCCTGCCGACAATTTCTAATTTACCACTTTCCACGACTCCGTTTCTCCCATTTTTGCCGCAATTCTTACCAACATACCTCTATAAGGCAAACCTGGTAAACGATCGGTTCGGTGAGATTGGCAATCGGAGTAATTGGACGCACGAGGCAACGACGTTCAATCAATCATATGTATAAAAGCATTCCGCGAGCAGGGCTTACAAAAATATATGCGCATATATATGCGAGATCTATTCAGGTGCAGCATATGTATACATGTATATATACACATGCATGCATACGTATGTGCATAAAATGAAAGCTAAATAGTGCACATGAAACAGTCGTATTTTGCGAGTTTTGTCGTGTAACGAAGGTTCTAATTGGTTCTAATCAGTCCTTCACATCCCGATTACGCGAGACATTTGATGGCTAGGAAAAAAACGCGCTTGCACACGTGTGTGGGGTGTATTTATTTGCGTGTATTGCATGCTTAATGCGTGCATACATATATGACATATGTCGGACGCATGCACGGGTATATATATGCGCGCGTAGCAGAAAGAACTCAAGCGAAACGGACGAATGGTAGGTTCGTTCGTTTTATTTATTAGGTCTATTCGCTGAACAGATTTGCTTGAAATCCTCACAAAATTTTTGAACGGAAAATAGAGATAGATATCTAATTTACGCGTTAAAAAGAGAGAAAGCGAAGACACTGAGTGCAAAAAGTGCAAGCAACGCGAACAGATCTATTGTAAACTAGGGCTTATGGCGATGGAAACGAGGCCTGAAGATGCGTTCCAATTAACGCTCACCACGCTCATGAAATCATTCCATCCTTATTTATCAAATATTAAACAAGAAAAAACGATGCTTGCGAGCATTGCGAGCGTTGTCACTTCCCCATGACAATCGGAGTTTCGGAAAGAACGGAATCTCGGAAAAGTCATACGACCAATCAGAATCATTTAAGTGCAGCACGTTATACAAATGAATGATTCCGATTGGTCGTATTATTTTTCCGAAATTCCATATATATATATATATATATGGTACGAGTATTTAATTAATCACAACTTTGTTGCATATTGTATCAATTCAGTATATCATTCTTTAATTATTGATGAAATACTGCGCCATGAGCATGAGTATTGTAACCATGTTCTAGCCAATCAACGCCTCGCTTTGATGAAACTGCGCGGGATGCGTTTCGTGAGCAAGGCGTCCCGATCTCCCGATTCGCGGCATCGCAGCGTTGCATGTTGCGTGTTTGGTTATAAATCCCGCCATCTCCGTGCTTGCACTGCTTGCAGTCGCATGAGCTTACGGTCGATCTTTGTTACTTCATCGGTTGAATTCGCGAAATAAAAGTCGGTCTGTATACCGGCGCGCAAATTGGCTCAAATCACAAAGAACCGAAACGGAAGATGTGATAACGCTGAGGATATCTGCGCGTCTAATGAATGTTTTGTTTCCTCGGCCACTTACGACGCAAGCGTTGATTATAATTTCGTCTTAGAACGAGAAGGCTCTCAGCCGCGTGAGTAAAAATCCAAACCACGCCGAACCATGGCAAACGTGTCTCTCGACAAGGATATGTTTTTTCGGCGCATAACGCGCCTGTATGCTGCGTGGAAGGTAAGCTTGCCGGAAATTGCATGCTTTTTGATCCCGGTGAGCGAAATTATTGCGTATTATTATACAATCTTTTACTTTCCGTAGGATGGGGAAGTCGGCACCGATGACAGTTTTAGTAAAATGGATTGTCTTGTTTCTGCCGTTGGAACTGATGAAGATATCGTTTACAGCAAGTCCATAGCATTGCAGGTACATGTGTATTAAAATCAGAAATTTTTTTCCTAAGGACTCACTACAAGTATCTTATCACAAAGATGGAGTATATGTGTCAATTTCGCTTCAATTCTATGAACCTAATATTAGAAATTTGTTTAAGATCTTTGATAGAGAAAGACATAACAAGTGACATTAGAACAATTCGATCGTTGAGATATCAGAGTGGTTTCTAGTGTGGTGAACATAAAATTTTAAGTTGAAAATTTTTATTTTTGTAGTACCTTTTATACTTTTTATAAGATTATTTGTTAAAAAAAGATTATATAATGAAACGTACCTTGTATTTCTCGAAAATGATTTTCTGTATGTTATATTTTATTATGTTACATTTTATTATGTTTCATTATATTATGTTTATTGAAGATATATATTAATAAGTATTAATTTATTGCAAATGGTTAATGTAATAAAACTGTTTATTGAGCAAAAAATAAATTGAAAGTTTCTCTATGTTTGAACACGTTTTGTTTTAGACATGGCTGCTCAGTTATGAACTCACGGATACTATAATGATATTGACGGAAGAGTCTATCAATTTCTTGGCCAGTAAAAAGAAGATTGAATTTCTAAGAAAGGTGGAAAACCAGAATACCGATGATACAGGAGTACCACCTGTGAAATTATTTGTCAGAGACAGAGTATGTATATTGCTTAATTTACATAAGAATAATTTTATTATTAAATGTACATTGATAGAATGTTAATTAATACTTGAATATCTTTTTATAGAGTGATGAAGACAAGGCAAATTTTGCAAAACTCATTGAAGTGATAAAGCAAAGTAAAAAAGGCAAAACTTTGGGAGTGTTTTCTAAAGAAAATTATCCAGGTGCTTTTATGGATGCCTGGAGAGCTACTTTAAAGAATGAATCATTTGATACGGTAAGCAGGCATAAATTATAGAAAATTTATATAGTTGAATACAGACTTAAGTTAAAAAAATATTTGTATTTATATAATTCATATAGGTTGACATAAGTGCTGCAGCTGCTTATGTTATGTGTCCAAAAGAAGATAGTGAGATAATCACTATAAAGAAAGCTTGTCTGATATCAGTAGATGTTTTCACCAAGTATCTTAAAGATCAAATAATGGAAATCATAGATTCGGACAAGGTATATTTTCTTCAGTTGTATGACATTTTAGCCATATATGGAAAGGAATGTCGATAAAAACATTACAATTGAGTATCTTATGTATGATTTCAGAAAGTTAAACACTCAAAGCTAGCAGAAAGTGTAGATACAGCTATCACAAATAAAAAGTATGTAACTGGAGTAGATATTACACAGGTAGATATGTGTTACCCAGCAATTATACAAAGTGGTGGAAATTATTCTCTTAAATTTAGCGCTGTTAGCGATAAAAACACCACTCTCCACTTTGGTGTTATTGTTTGCTCATTAGGAGCACGTTACAAAAGTTATTGTTCAAACATAGTAAGAACTCTGTTAGTCAATCCCACAAAAATAATTGAGGTATGTAAAAAAAAACATTTATATTACTTAAATCAGATTTCAGTGTTCTAATTTATAATGCATTTTGTTGTAGGAAAATTATAATTTTTTATTACAACTGGAAGAAGAAATTCTGAAAAAATTAGTTGCAGGAACAAAAATAAGTGAAGTGTATGAGGCTGGTATTAAATTTGTAAAAGATGAAAAACCAGAAATGTTAAATCATTTAACCAAAAATTTTGGATTTGCTATGGGTATTGAGTTTAAAGAAAGTTCTTTGCTATTGGGTCCAAAAATTCATGCAATAGCTAAGAAGGGCATGGTATTTAATGTTAACGTTGGTCTTTCAAACCTTAATAATCCAGATGCAATGGACAAAGAAGGTAAAACTTACGCCCTTTTCATAGGCGATACAGTTATAGTAAATGAAGGACAACCCGCTTCTAATTTAACACCATCAAAGAAGAAGGTAAAAAATATAGGTATATATGTGAAAGATGACGAAGATGAAGAAGAAGAGGGAAGTGGAAAAGAAAATGAACCAAAGCCAGAAATTCTAGGACGTGGAAAAAGAACTGCTGTAATAGAATCTAAATTGAGAACAGAGCACAGTTCGGAAGAGAAGAGAAAGCAGCATCAAAAAGAATTAGCTCAACAATTGAATGAAGTTGCTAAAGCTCGATTGGCCCAACAGTCTGGTGGTAAGGAACAAGAAAAGATACGTAAATCAACAGTATCTTATAAAAGCTTGAGTCATATGCCACGTGAGCCAGAAGTCAGAGAGTTGAAGTTGTTTGTGGATAAAAAGTACGAAACTGTGATTTTACCTGTTGCTGGTATTCCAGTACCATTCCACATATCAACAATTAAAAACATCTCACAGTCAGTAGAAGGAGATTATACGTATCTTAGAATAAACTTCTTTCACCCTGGTGCAACTATGGGACGAAATGAAGGTGGATCTTACCCTCAGCCTGATGCAACGTTTGTTAAGGAAGTAACATATCGAAGCACAAATACCAAAGAGCCTGGCGAGATCTCTGCACCATCATCAAATTTAAATACAGCCTTTAGATTGATTAAGGAAGTGCAAAAGAAGTTCAAAAATCGAGAAGCAGAAGAAAGAGAAAAGGAGGATCTTGTAAAACAAGATACTTTAATATTATCACAAAATAAGGGCAATCCAAAATTAAAAGATTTATATATTCGACCAAATATTGTTACAAAAAGAATGACTGGTGGTTTAGAAGCGCACACAAATGGATTCCGCTATACTTCCGTACGCGGTGATAAAGTAGATATTCTTTATAATAACATTAAAAACGCTTTCTTCCAACCGTGCGATGGTGAAATGATTATATTACTTCATTTTCATTTAAAAGTATGTATCATATGTTTATCTTATATTTTTTAAATATGTAAGAATTCTATTAATTTTTCACGAATGAATATTGCTACTTATATACATTAATATGTATATATTTATAAATATTTATGGTTTTTGTAGCATGCTATTATGTTTGGCAAGAAGAAACATGTAGATGTGCAGTTTTATACTGAAGTTGGAGAAATTACTACCGATTTAGGTAAACATCAGCATATGCACGATCGTGATGATCTTGCAGCTGAACAATCGGAACGAGAACTGAGACATAAATTAAAAACTGCTTTTAAAAGCTTCTGTGAAAAGGTGTGTATAAATTTTTATTAATTTATGTTTATTGATTTTATATATTTATTTCTTATATATATTATATTATTTAATGCGTAATGATACATGTCTGTATTGTATAAAGGTTGAAGGAATGACAAAGCAAGAGATAGAATTTGATACACCATTTCGGGACTTGGGATTTCCTGGTGCACCATTCAGGAGTACTGTCTTACTTCAACCAACTAGTGGATGTTTGGTTAATCTCACAGAATGGGTAATGCACTGCGATAAAACAAAATTAATATTTTAAGGTAAAGAGAATTACATTAATATGTTTGGGTTTAGCCTCCATTTGTCATTACCTTGGAAGATGTTGAATTGGTTCACTTTGAAAGAGTACAATTTCATCTAAAGAACTTCGATATGATCTTTGTTTTCAAAGATTATCATCGAAAGGTAGCGATGGTAAATGCCGTTCCTATGAATATGTTAGATCATGTCAAAGAATGGTTAAAGTAAGTCATATTATTTAATGAAAAGTGGACAATGTCTTGTCAATTTTATTATCTTTTATAATATAGACAGAACTTATGTAATTATTAAGTTTATAATTTCCTGTTTAGTTCGTGCGACATTCGATATTCAGAAGGTGTCCAGTCTTTGAATTGGACAAAAATTATGAAAACTATAACAGATGATCCTGAAGGATTCTTTGAAAGCGGAGGATGGACATTCCTGGATCCAGAAAGTGATGCTGAAAATGAAGAAGTCGATGATGAAGAAGAGGAAGAAGATGATGCGTATGAGGTTTGAGATTTAGATAAACAAGGAAATTCTTTAAATATGTAAGAGTGATACATATATTTTATTTATATTTAATGTATTTACAGCCATCTGATATGGAAAGTGAGGAAGAATCTGATGATGATTCTGAATATTCTGAAGCTTCTGAAGATTCTGATAGTGAAGGTACTTTATTCGAAATTATTGTATTTTTATACATTTGCTATTTTTATTTTTTAATTTATTTAATTTTTCTTATACTTTTTTTTTCCCAGAAGAAGAATTAGGTAGCTCTGAAGAATCAGGGAAAGATTGGTCAGATTTGGAAAGAGAAGCGGCCGAGGAGGACAAAGAAAGGGGCGATGATCGTTATCGTGACGATTACAGTTCTAGTAAAAAGAAGAAAGCGAACCGAAGACAATCTCCACCTTCAAAAGATAGGTATTGTATACACAGATATATTAAATATTTCAATGTTCTTACAATAAATGCTAACTTTAGGTATTCTTTGTTTCATATAAGACATAATTCTAAACACAAGAGTTCCACTAATTCAAAGAGTAAAAGTTCACCTAGTAAAGATAAACGATCAGACAAATATAGGTAAATATGATCCTTTATAGTTTACAAATAGCAGATATTCTCATGTAAAGTAAATTTTTTTTTTTCGCGAAATTATATCGAGTTTTGTACTTAATAATTAAAGAACGGATCGATCACGGAGTGGGGGCTCGCACAAGAAAGGGTCTCCTTCCAAATCATCCAAACACAGGTGATTACCGATAAGTTTTACATTTTTAATGTTGCTATAATTGAAATTTGTTTGTTTAGTCCCAAAAAGAGTGATAAACACGATAAGCATGTTAAAAGTAAGTCAACGCATTCTTCGTCCAGCAGTAAGAAACGTCCTCGTGAAAGGAGCTCAGAAAGAAGCGACAGAGGATCTAAGAGATCTAAGTAAGTAATAATTAATAAATGATAATAAGCATTTTTATAACATATTTATTTTTATAATAATACTTAGTTATATGTTTAATTATTAAATTTTTACAGGAAGTAAATTGCTAAGAGAAGATCTGCACATCGAGACAAGAGTACATACGAAATTACAGCAAATGGTGATTCCAAATAAAACTCTTAAACTATAACGATTTGTACGAATAGTACATTTTCTTGCATTAAACAGAATAGAAACGAATTAGCATTATACTTTTAATAATTATTTTTTATTGTTTGAATATTTTGCTTTCGTACACAGAGGATATATATAACTTCTTTTTTGTAATTCTCTTGCGTTTTTAACATTAAGTAGTTTTTAAGGTTAAATATAACTCATTCCACATTTCAGATTTTTTTATTCGATAATGTAAGAGTTGCATTACAAATATATATGTTTCTTCTAAGTTTTCTATGACACTTATAAGATAAAGACACATGAATTAATGAGATAAACTTGGAGTGTCTTTTTTTATCAAAAAGCGTTGCGTGAGAAAGTTACTTCATGGATTATCAATATTTTTGAATGTATGAAAGATAAAAATAAAAAGATCAAATTTACAACTGTGTGTACTGATAAGAATCATAACATAGAACATCATTGATATAAACATTTCGGGTGAAGTTTAAGTATTATGAAAAAAATAACAATAGAAATGCAAGATAATGTACTAATGATAAATGCGATTCACACATAGCATTATGTGAATCTTGAATTTTTCTTCGTGTTTACTAAAATTTGAAATCTATACTTCAAAGTATTTTTTAAATCATTGGCTTAAGGATTGCAAAATCAATATTGTTTGAGAAAATGTGTCTTATATGATTTTTTATATACTTTGATTACTCAGAAAAATGGAAATACATTTGTAATTCTCCTCATCGAGCCCATGTGTTATGTGTACGCTGAGATGAGAAAAGAACACTGATTCAGAGAGTGAAAAAATCGAAATAAATCGAAAATTAGCGAAACCTCATTTACATAGTTCTCAGATTTGTATCTTAACATAATAAAACTGTTTGTTCTTAAGTTATTTAACATTAATGTACAAATGTCATTTGTGGTTTTTATATTCCAAAATGTATGTAATGTTGATACATGAAAACATTTGTTTTTATTAAAACGCCCTACTTACTCGTAAAAGAAATTCATTATTATTATGTGATAGTATTATAGATTTTTAGAAAAATATATGATCTGAGTACAATGTATGTGCGAAAAATTAATTTAAGAACTTTGAAAAAAAAAATTAGCACTAACTACAGTAACTATTTTTTTATTAAGTTTTTGTAACAGGTAGCATAAGATCAAAGTGTATATTATTATATAATGAGATTTTCTGATAGATTTATTCCATTTACGTGTGCACGGCTGTATATATGAAAGAAAGTGAAAGTTCCACAAGAGATACGAATCAAGACCTTTCATTCTCTCAATATAGATATGTATTATAATAATGAGACAATAAAATTAGCAGAGCAGAAAACAAAAAACATGGTCTCATAACCCTAGCGTGCCTTATGTTGAAATTTCCGATTTAGCTGTGTCATGTAATAAACAGAAAAGTCACGTTCAGTAACATGATAAATAGAAGTGAAAGTACGCTTCTTCGATGAGTAGTTCTGCAACTTTCTCTATGATATATCGCTAGCAGCATACATAATTCAGACTAAGAGATCCTTATGAGAATACATGATTAATTTCACAATCTGCAAACTGCGTATTTTGAGGAATGCCTATTTCAATGGTAAATAGCCTGTGAAACTATCGAAAGATTAATGAAATTGTGAAAGACAAGTACAAAGTATTTTGTTATAAAGTATATTGTAATATTTATATTTTTTTACATACACACAATATCGATAATAATCTATTTGTAAATGAATATACAAATATACAAAAATGTAATCGAGATGGCAGAAAATGATACATATAAAAATATTTCTCATACAATGTATTTACGAAAAGTGGAACTTCTTTCTACAAGACGTAAAAAGATTTTTGTGATACAAAAGCAAGATACAAAAAGAATACTATTATTTATAAATATTTTTCTAAAAAGGCACTTAGAATATGATTATTTTTGACAACGATGACGATAACGACGATTATGCGACAGGAAAGAATTTAATTTCGACCTATTTGATCGATTTGGGTTTGAAGATTGTTTACCACCTCAGGTGGTACGTGTTCACCCAAGATCTCGAAGAGATTGATCCTTTGGTCTCCGGGAATTGATTCGTAAGCGGCCAATTCGATGCCCTCTTGAACCTTTTGTATAGTCGCATCCTTCGGGATAAGATAAGTATTCTGAGCTTGCCGTATCGCCTCATTACTGAAGATTTGCCCATCTTTCTGCGGATACGCGACAATCACGCTCGCCAGAAGTAATGTGGCCAGGATTACAGTGTGAAATTTCATCTGGAAACAAATTAGAGACAAGATTATTGAAATTTACGTAATCAATGCGCGCGCGCGATTCGAGAGTAAAATTCAAAGCTTCGAAAATATGTGTAGATGTTTACAAAAGGTGAAGACTTTAAATAGAATACATAGATGTTACGAGAAATTTTATTAATTCCGGCAGAATGCATAATAGCCGGCCAATATACATAATGCCTGCTTTAATGAAGTAAGCATTATTATCTATATTGACTAGCCGTTATATATATCTAAATCCTGAATTAATTATATTATCTTACAGTTTCGCAACTCTATACATAATTCATTAGTTTCGCATCACGCTAAGAAACAAAAATTATGAAGCAATTTAAATATTACGTCAACATAAAATAGTCATCGTGTAAAATGCAGAGGAATGAAATGCCAGTTATTGGCGAGAGTTTCGTGTGCGATGGTGTATGTCCGAAGAGCGTTGGTCCGATCTCTCCTTAATGGTCGAGGTCGTGAAATTGGAGCAACATTATGGAGAAGTTTTTATTGCGTAAAATAAAAACTTGTACTTCGATATAACGACGAATATCGTGTGTGTGTGACGGAAATATTATTTTTAGAAATATAGAAATTTTCGTACGTGTGTGTAGCGTATATTGCATGATATTAATATATTTTGTGAAATTAAATTTCTAATTAATAATTTGGACACACTGTGAATATCATGTAAATATTATACGCCACATTAAAATTTCCTACGCTTATCTTCCTTTTCCTCTTTAACACACGTGTATAGTGTATTTAGCACTTCAAACACAAAAAATTTAAAGACAATTGAAACAAATTTTAATTGGGTAGTAAAATACAGAGTAATGAAATACACATAGTACACAAATTCGATTAAAAATAAAATTCACTTTTTTTCCTGTAAAAGTAAATTCTTTACTACTATATTGTGATACTCACGTTGAAAATACGTTTCACAATCGGCTACTCCGAAATGAAACTAAGCGCGCTGCAACGCAGGTTGCTTTTATATCGCAGATACGTGGAGGCAGAAGAGCGGTGAGAATACCACTCCCATCCTTCTCGAGGAAGTCTTACCATACAGTGTGCTTCAAACTGTATGAATACTCGTTACATATTGTGTATATTTCATGAATGAAAGTCTTCAAAATTATAAAAATTACGAAGGAATACATATAAATAAAAGAAAAATAAAATAAAATAAAAGGAAAACAAAAATAGCATAAATATATTAATATATTCATATTCATAGATATTTTTACGTATATTTTCATGCGGTCATGTCAGATAATATAGGAGTATTTTTATGTTATGTGCTAAATATTTTGAAAATATCTTCATGACATAGTTTTGTAAAAATATATTAACAAAGTATATATACATTTAAAATAATTTTTTATTAATGTTGTATGTTACAACGAAAGATATGTATGTACAAAATCATAACGATCGATGCAAATTTTTCGAGCCATTTCACTTGATACATTCTCGAATAACGTCGATCGTACGACTTGCTGTGTATATCGGTGCCCTATTGACCAATATACGACACAGGTAAGATTTGCTGACTTGTATTGGCTGAAGAGTTTCACTTTTATATGTTAAATGTGTGTGTATTTTGTGCGTGTATATATAATATATATATATATATATTGTATGTATGTATATATACAGGGTGTCTCATCACTGACAAAAAATATTTTAAAGATAAATTCTTTGTAATATTTTGAGACGAAAAGTTTAATACCAAAATGTCGAAACTATCATATAAGCCTTTTCGTATTAGACTTATATCGTTTTAAACTTCGTCCAAGCTGTCGTGAGTAGCAGCATCAGGAAAATTTGTCGCGAGAGTGTCGTTAAATAAGCGTCTACAACAATCACAAAAATTGTTTGCACACAATTTGATAACAAATTCTACTGTCGAACTTGCTGTGCTGTGATTGAATGAGCTCATACGACGCGCTTATAAGGATTAGTTGTAATAAATTGATCTTTTTACTTTTATATCAAAAATGATATTCGCATACTTCGATCCTATTTCTAATTGTTGCTCTTTTATTAACCTTGGTCTTAATGGATTTTAAAGCCATGATGGATTAAAAGCAAAAACGGAAAAATTCATAAAAATTCGTGAGCGATAAAATGAAATAAAATTTACTGAGTTTCTATCGTTTGTAAAATATTTGCATTCAGCAGTAATTTTCCTACAGGTTTATCGCAAATTTTTCCTTCCTTAAAAACAAATCGTCCCCTAAGGACAGTTGCGATTATTTTTCCAAATAGAACCTTTCCTTGATATGGTGTTAACTGTAAAAATAAACATTTTTGAAGACTTGGTAAGTTCTTTTATCAGAATTATTGTTTCCTATGTTAATTGGTATAATTTATGTATTTACTTACTTTGTTCTTGTAATAAATATCATCTGACTCGATCTGCAAAAATATAATAATTTTCTAATATACTACCCATGCAGTGCTCTGTATTTTTTTTAAATTCAAAGAACGTACAATAGAACTGACCTTAATAGATTTCTCTGGATCCCAAATAACGAAATCCGCGTCCTTTCCAATCGATAAATCACCTTTGCGATCTTCGAGACCGCATAGCTTTGCGGGCTGAGTGCTTAATAACTTCGAGACATCGGAAAGTGATGTGCCTCTCGTTCTCGCGGATGTCCATATCAACGGTAATCCTATTTGTATTTTTGAAGACATTTATTTTTCTTTCTCTCTCCCTCTTTCTCTTCTATAATATTTTTATTTTATACTTTTTACTTTCTGATAAATTTTATACATATAAATGTATACCGAATTGCAATGAAGAGATTCCACCCCAAGCAGTCAAAAAATTTCCGGAAGTTTTCAATTCTGGTACACAGGGAGAGTGATCCGAAACAATCATATCTATCGTTTCATTTTTAACACCATGCCACAATTGTTCCTATAAACATTTGTATAAAATTGAAAACTGATTTATTACGAATAAATATTTATCGAATAAGTTCGAATTTGATATTAATTAGAGGAAATCACACTTGAAAACTTAAAAATTTATTCGATTAAAATATTTTTGTTATATCGAGATATATATACGTAATAAAATTTTTCAAATAGATACTATTTTAAAACATCTGATGTCGAAGATCTCGTATGATTGTAACTGAAATTGGTAAACAAGAAAAATGGATAAATATTTGTAAGTAAAAAAATTTGTTTACTCGATTAGTATTTTTCCTGATTGGCGGGCAACACTTAAATTCAGTAGAGCCTGCTGGAATCTCTTCCGCAGCTAATACCAAATAGTGATAGCATGTTTCCACGGTTAAAGGTGCACCACGAGTTTTGGCATCCTTTATCAATGCCAAACATTCCGCACTTGACAAATGCACTATGTGGCATCGAAAGCTTGAGAATTTTATTTGAACATTATTTTTATACAGAACATGTATCAAAACAAAATCTCTCTTTCTCTTTGACTTACTTATATTTTATGCACCAATCACAAATTAATTTTACGGCATCAAATTCCATGAGATCAGGTCGAGTACGCAAGAAAGTATCATACAATCCTGGATTCTCTAAAAATACACAATACAAACAAAATTGATTTCGCAAAAACAAAAATTACTCGTAATACGTACCTTTTAATAAATTAATTTTTTCATCTCGCTCGATTTCTGCGTGAAACTGCAAACACATTTGCGATTAATCGCGAATAGATTTATAATAATGAAAATATAAGCGCAATGCGTGATGCAATATATAGATACCGCTAGTACAGTTTTTGTAGACATTAATTCCAAAATAGTTTTGTTCACATCGTCTACAGAGACATGTGGAAATTCATCGACTCCGCTCGGGCACAAGAAACACTTAAAACCGACTATACCTGCATCTATTAACGATCGCAACTCGTGCTAAAAATTGCAAAAAAAAAAGAGGGAGATCAATCATGATGCAAACACACGATGTCTGTTCTTATTCTCACTATTATTATTCGCATAGCATTTACTGTGCCATGTAATACCATCTTTATACATACATATAAGTGTCATGTTGAAAAAAATATGCTATCTGGTATACAAAAATGGGAAGAATGGGAGAAATGATAGTTTAGTTAGAAAGTAAATACGCTGCTGCGGTACAAAAATAGCTGGTTCATACTGATGATTCTTGACATCTCATAATTTTATAAAGAGTTTTTAAAAAGTTTAAGACATTTCTTCAGAAATTTTATAAATATAAAAAAATTCTTAAAAATATTATGAAATATGAGAATTTTTTCACCAGAAATATTATATGGAAGACAATTTATGTGTGTGTGTATGTACAATTGTGCATTTAATTTAAAGTACTATGGACGGGTATATCTTACTTCACACATTCTTATCACTCAAAGATTAATTTTGATTGAGGACTCCTTAGATTTCGTTTAAACACAAACAACACTTTAAAATCGATTACATATACATTTATTCATTATAGCACATTTCATGCTAATAACGTAGATGTAATTGGAATATGGGATATCAAAATGGATTATCATTTACCTTATATTCCTTTATCTTCTCTCTTCAACTCTCCAATCAATCTCTTATAAAACTGAGGTATACATGAGACGAGAATAAAGGTTGAAATCGAACCAAAAACCGTCAACTATGAATCAATCACTCTCACATGTCATTCTATAATTTTATACCAGTATTTGCGACGGTAACAATTGATCAATAAGCAACAAGACAGAGCACCAAATGTTCGTTCTCATTCTCATGAATACTTGCGTGGCATTGTTAGAGCGTAACGCAATGTTATTATTTTGTATATGTATAAAGTGTTCAACCAAAAAAGGTATGTCTCAAGTTTTTGTGAAACATATCAAAGTAGGGAATGGAAGAATGGCAGTTCAGTTTTAAGATAGGTAGTTATTATTACTACGTACTTCTATATTAGTATTACTATGGTAGCTCGTATGCTAACGATTTTTGACAACCTACAATTTTACTGCTGGAAACTTGGTCGTGAAAAAAAGCGGTAGTGCCTACCATGCGTGTCATTCGTATCGTAGCACTCAAATAGCAACATCATGCTAGTGCACGTTCCACGAGAGTATAATGTCAATAAAATATTATTATCACACTTGGGTCTCTGGCCACTACAAAATAAATTTATACGAAAAGTGTTACCACTAATATATCTTGTAATTCACATTGGTTGGCTTCCTTTGGAGGTAATAATGTGTCAATATATTTTTGTTTACAACGTTTGAATTCGCCCAATGAATGGGGAAGAATAGCTCATATATATGTATAATTATATATAAATGTATGTAAGGTATCATATATAAATCTATATAAATTTGCCCATATAGATATATAATTAGATATAAACATATAATCTTATATAGAGAGACATTTATATGTATACAACAATATATAACATCATATAGAACTTATATATAATCATATAGGATTATATATGAATCATCATATAGAATTATATGATATATAAATTTGTATATAATCGTCCGGGTAAAAATTGTTCATATATAACCATATATAAGTATGTATGTACAATTATACAAAAATATATAATTATATGTATAAAAAATTACATAAAAATATATTAAATGTACGATAAAATAATATATTATAACGATTATACATTATTTTTATATATTTTTATATTTATACATAATTGTATATAAATATATACAAAGTAATATGTAGTTATAAATATGTATGATCACATATAAGATTGTTGTGTAATTATATATATAAAATTTTATACAATTATACAATGTCTTAATTTTGCAACATAAAATATAACAAAAAAGTTCTCGAAAAATTAAGTAAAAATGTTATTTAAAAATTTTTCATTTTAAGCAGTCATTTTTTTAAATAATAATGATTTAAATATAATAAGTCATAGTCTACGTTTAGATGGTCATATACCCATGAATTGTGCGAGCATATGGTACTTGGTAATAATAGTAAGAGCCGCGCTGATGTATCATAAACGCAATTCACTTTACTGACTAAATTAATACTCACAGATGTCTATCTAAATATAATCTATACTTGGTGATTAAAACTTAAATATATTTGTTGAACAAAATAAAAATTTATAAATACTTTTATTTAATTTTTCGAGAGCTTCCTTGCTATAGTAATTTAAGTTGCAAATTTTGTGACACCCCGTAAATATTCATATATTATTATATAGGAGTCATTTTTATAGCGTGCAAATAAGGCATAAAGCATGATGTCGTTCTAAATGTACTTTTATCGCTATTATTTCTGAAAGGGCGAACTTTCGAAAACGTCCAGTGCTCAATTATCAAGATTTTTTGCAGAAATACTTTAAATGATGTCAAATGAATTACCGATAAAGAAGTTCAAATGATATTAACAAAAATGTTTGAATGATATTATAGAAGTTCAGAGGCGTGTGACTTCCACGTAAAGTGAAGTCACTTTTATTTGACCCTCTCCCCGGCGAATTTCTACACGTAATGACTTATTCTAAAGAAGTTTAATGTCAAATATATTTGAATAAAGTATATAACTTTATTCAAACGTTTTTGATATTAAACTTCTTTATCGGTGAAAATCCATTTAAGGGCATTTATTTGACATCATTTAGAGTATTTCTGTCAAAGTTCATGAAAATCGAACATTGGACGTTTTCGGAAGTTTATCCCTCTGAAAGTATATAGTATGCGTAATGTAAACTGTATAACATGTTAGCATGCTAACATCATTGTAAACGTGTTCTAATTAGGGTCATAAAACAAATATAATATTAATAACTTAGAATAATTAATATTACGCTTAGATATTAACGCTACATAATTATTGGGAAAACATGCGAGTAGTTTTCCTAAATTTTCACTACCTAGTTTGTTCAATCACAATCATCTTTAAGTTATCAAATGAGTTTTTGAATCATGACAAGGTACGTGTACAGAAAACATCACTGGCTTCCTCACTAATGACTTCTTAATTATTGTACTTTAATAAAATTATTTATTGTGCTTAGGTACGATATTTATACAAAGCTATGGAAAATCACTGGAATGTATTTACAAGTGAATTTGAAATGCATATTCTTAAGGACTATTCTATTTTATCTCAAAAAGTCATAAAAATTTATGCAAGTGAGTGTCTACATATAAGTACATAAATTAATTAATATTATAATATATATTAAAAAACATAGATCTGATAAGTAACTTCATAAAAGATTTCTATTGTCGATTGAATCAACACGTTCATAGAATTTTTGTAAAGAAAACAAATAATTGTAATCTTTTTAACATATTTACATATATTTATAAATTTTAAATAATACATATATGCGAATTTAAATGGTAATATAGTATAATATATAATTATATGTAGAAGTTATACATATATAATTATGTATAGACAATTTTCTTTCAAAAAGTTATATATATATTTATATATAATTATAAAATTAAAAAAAATTTTTTATTTTGTATTTTAAATTACAAATGCGTGGACAATTGATAAACTAAGAAAGAAAGTCCTTTAAAGATTTATTCGTTCTTGCTTTATTTCGTAAAAAATTGCAAAAAAAATTAAAATTGATACTCCACCGGTATAGTTTCATCAATTAAGTGATATGATATTTTGTATGCGTTCCCCTGTTTTAATAAATATATATTTATATCTATAATTTCGTGCATAAATATTGTATATTGCATTACAATTTATCAACATAAAAAAATATATTTTTTATGAAAATGCAGTTACATTGTACTGTATGGTAACATTATATATAATATTGCCATTTAAACCGATTATACTTGATGTTATATCTCCTCTTAATGAGTCACGACCACGACGTTATGTGATAAATCAGGAATGTATAACATATAAGGACAAGTATTTTGTACCGCTACTTTGCTATTATGTAACTGCACTTGTGACGGCTGTAACTATTTTTATTGGTATCGAGACTATATATGTTACTCGTATCATTCATGCTTGTAGTTTATTTTCGATTATTAGGTACGTACATAAATAACTTTTACTTTAAATCCGTTTGGAGACAGCAAATATTATTGAAATTAATTTCATTAAAATTTTCATTTTACAGCCAACAATTTAAAAGAATAACATCACAAGTAAATATCTATATACAAGCTAACAAACGTAAATGCTACATGAATGCATTGATCAATTCGGCAAGCGAGCCATTGTTACACGATGAATACATTATATGTTTAAAGAAATATCAACTTGCTGTAAAGTAAAGAATTAAAAAAAATGATTTTGTCATAGTGTGTAATAAATATTGTAGTACACACGCGCACACATACACATGTATGCACGCACGCACGCACGCACGTATGTATATATGGAATTTTGTAAATATATTAATATGTATATTATTCTACAGATTTACCAATGCACTGAATTCGATGTATCAAATAGTAACATTAATATCATTATTTTCTGCTGGTTCAACTATAAGTCTGGATGCAATTCAAGTAAACATTACAGTTATTATAAACCTTTTATTTCATATAAAGAGGAAAAATAACACTACCTATTAATGTGAATATTAAAACATAAATATTAAAAGGTAAACAAAGCAATATAATTTAATATATTTTATATATTATAGATTGTATACGAATTGGATCAATTTGACCAGCTATTAATATATATTACAATAATCACAGGCTCAACAATACAGCTGATGATCCTATGTTACCCCGGTCAAAAATTACTAGATGCGAGTCAAAATGTGTTCTATCAAGTGTAAGAATTTTACTCTTTTGCTTGCGTTTGTGATATTTATCATTAATGGTATAATAGCAATTCCAGATGCAAAATGTTTATTGTTATATCTTCTTATACATATTTTGGAAAATGAGATTTACTATTTA